AGGTTCGCGCGATTGATAAGCGCACGCGGGGACAGCGCTGCACGACAATGTCGAGTGCGCTTCGCCAACATCGCCACATCACATCACGCTCACGTGCACAATCACACTACTCACTGGACTCCGCCCCACAGGCATCGTCAGAACAACAATCACCACTTTTGCCCATTACTGCCCCCCACAATCTCCGTATCACCCGCCCGCAGGGTGGTCGTATAGGATACGACCACCCTTCGGGTGATAAGAAGGTTGTGCGGGGGGGAGAGGGGGGGAACCAACAACTGACTCAATCGATATCACTACCGGTCTCACTGAACGGGACACCACGGGACACTCGTCGATCTCACTATCGATCTCACTATCGATCTCACTCAACGGGACAACACGGGGCACCACGGACTACCACGGGACACCACGGGACACCGCGGGACACCTCTCGATTTCACGATCGGTCCCACAATCGATCACACTATCGATGTCGCCCAACGGAACACCATAGGACACCACGGGACACCTCGGGACACAACATCGATCTCACGATCGATATCCCTATCGATCTCACTATCGATATCACTCCACGGGACACCACAGGACACCTGTCGATCTCACTACCGGTCTCATTATCTCACTATCGATTTCACTTTTTGGGGCACCACGGGACACCACGGGACACCTCGGGGCACCACATCGATCTCAGTATCGATCTCACGATTGATCTCACTATCGATCTCACTCAACGTGACACCACGGGACACCACGGGACACAGGACACCTCAGGACACCACGGGTCACCACGGGACACTGGATGGACGGTTGGACGGGGGAGAATCATTTGTTTTGCCTTCGTCCGATCGGAAGTTGAGGGGTGAGATCGCACTGCAACGGAGACACCCAACCGGGAAATCGTTTCGTTTCGTTCGTGTCGTGCGTGCGGGCGAGGCGAAGCTGCGTGGGCGCGCGAGAAGAATGAACCCGCCGTTGCTAGGGCGACGTCAAGACACATGATTATCCCCCGTCCGTCCGTCCGGCGGTGTCCCGCGGTGTCCCGTGGTGTCCCGTAGTGTCCTATGGTGTCCCGTGGTGTCCGCCGTTGCTAGGGCGAACTCAAGACAAATGATTCTCCCCCGTCCGTCCGTCCGTCCGTCTGGCGGTGGCCCTAGCGGTGTCCCGCGGTATCACGTGGTGTCCCGTGGGGTCCTTTGGTGTCCGCCGTTGCTAGGGCGAAGTCAAGACAAATGATTTTCCCCCGTCCCCCGTCCGTCCGTCCGCCCAGCGGTGGCTCGCGGTGTCCCACGGTGTCCCGTGGTGTCCCGTCGTGTCCCGGGGGTTGGGGTGAGATCGCAGTGCAGTGGAACGGAGAGCCGCCCCTACACTTGGAAATCGGTTTCGGTGTCGTGTTCGTGACGTGCGTGCGGGCGAGACGAAGCTGCGTGGGCGCGCGAAAAGAATGATGCCGCCGTGGCTAGGAGTTGTCAAAGCGGTTGGTTGTCCGCCCCCTCCCCCCCCAAAAAAAAGCGCGTGGTGGCCGTGGGGGTCCCGTCGGTGACGCGAGGTGCCCCGTCGGTGGTGCGGGGTGTCCCGACGGTGGCTCCAGGTGTCCCGCCGTGGTGTCTCGATAGTAGCTCGTGAGATCAGTTGTGAGATCGATAATGAATAGATCGAGATCGTGAGATCCATCGTGAGATCGAGAAATCGATAGTGAGATCGATTGCGAGAACGATAACAACTGATCTTTGGCTGGTGATGTCCCGCCGTGGCTGAGGGTCCCCATCGTGGTGTTCCGATGGTGTCTCGTGAGATCTCTTATCTATTCGATAATGAGATCTCTTATGAGATGGCTATTGAGATCGATCGTGAGATCGATCGTGAGATCAGTAGTGCGATCGATATCGAGAGCGATTGTGAGATCGAGGGTGAGATCGACCTTGAAGTTCGCGAGATCGACGGCGCCATCTCACCGCCATCACAGTCATCGCAATTGTTGTTAGTGGGTTTTCCTTCCCCCCCCCAACCTCCTTACCACCCGAGGGGTGGTCGTAGAGTTGTTGTTCTTCACCTCGGGTTTGTTCTTGCATTCAAGGGGTTCTCTACTGAAGTAACGATCCGTACCTATCCTCCGGTCCCGACCTGGTCCGCTTGTGGCAGCCGCCCGTCGCAGCCGCCGTCGCCGCTGGCAACTGGACCCGGGTGCCGCTCCAGCCAGCTGGTGGCCGCCCGTCGCAGCCCGTCGTTGCCGTCGCCGTTGGGCCAGTGCCAGTCCAGGCGGCTTGTGGCCGCCCGTCGCCCCCCGCCCATCGCCGCCACCCGTGCAATGCGAATGCAATCGCATTGCATTGCAATCGCATTGCATTGCAATCGTCTTGTAATCGCATTGCGTTGCTTTGCATTGCGTTGCGCCGCTTTGCATCTGTCTGCATTGCTTTGAATGGCATTGCAGTAATTCGCAAGGCTTTGCATGGCTCTGAATTGCTTTGCATTGCTTTGGACAGATTTGCATTGACTTGCATCCCGTTGCATTGCTTTGCATTGCTTTTCATCGCATTGCACGGCAATGTATTGCTTTCCATTGTTTCGCAGTGGTTCGCATTGCTCTTTGCATGTATTTGCACTGTGTTGCATCGCTGTGAGTTGCTATGCATTGTTGTGTGTTGGTGTGCATTGCTTTGCCTTGGAATGCGTTGCATTGCTTTGCATTGCTTTGCATTGTCTTGGATTGATTTGCATCGCCTTGCATTGCCTTGCATTGCCTTGCATTGCCTTGAATTGCCTTGCACTGCTTTGCATTGCCTTGAATTGCGCTGCAGTGTTTCGCATTGCTGTGCATTGTTTGCATTGATTTGCATTGCGTTGCGTTGCGTAGCCTTAGTTTGCATAGCTTCGCATTGCTTTGCACCACACAGATTGCACCACATGGATTGCACCACCTAGACTGCAGCACACGGACCGCACCAGTTAGATTGCACCGCATACATTGCAATCAAGAACTGTTTGGGGCCGACGCTAGCTAACATACACTATGTACTTACATGTGTTTATAGATCGATACATATTTACAAACATACATACAAATGTGTGTATGTATGCTCTGGAGGTGGACGATGGTAGACGAGGAGCCCCGACAGCAAGCGGCGTCCAAAATCAACAGCGGTCGCTGCTGGGCAGGCAGTTTCTCTCCCAATTGGTCAACGCCCGCGACGGCAACGACGACGACTCCTGGCCAACATGGACAAGACTTGCTGTCCTTCTTCGTCCCCAGGTTTCCCGTACCAATTTCGATCGCAATGATGGAGAACACTCCTCGAGAGGTCCTCGAGAACCCAAGGCACGACTCTCAAGCGGTGGATCTAGATATACCCTGACGGTGGACGACACACACCCTGACCCTGTCCAGACATTGGACTTCGTGATTTGTTCCCTTCGTGCCTCCCTAAAAAGCTCTTCATCCAGGATCGCTTTTGACGGCCCTGGGGCCCAGCCAATGCCCCTCGAGGCCAATAACTGCCAAAACCCTGCCGTCGCAGTTTCCCCACGACGCCAGGATGTCAGGATGGAGACCGGACAAGACCTGCGGTCCTTCTTCGCCCCGACCTTTCCGTACACATTGCGATTGTGCCGATGGAGACAACTGGCGGTCCCGAGACGGTGCGGTGGCAGACTCTGACTTCACAGCTCCGGCCGCCACCGCACGGTTTTGGGTTTTGGGACCCTGGAGGCCCCAGCCGCCTGAGACGTCCTTCGAAAACGACCCAAGCCCCACAGCCGTGCGGCCATCCCGAATCCCCTCTGACTCACCACACGACGTGGTCACCACACCGTTTGAGGGCCCCCCGCGGTAGTCCGCGAGGTTCGGGGCCGCGCGGCCGACAACGTTGGGAAGCAATTTCTGAGAGGTCTTCGTGGGACCGCTTGGAGACCATTGGGCACCGATTGAGGAGCCATAGGACAGGACCGCGCCAGAAAAAAAATATTTATTGAAGGGGTCATTGAACTGGGCCCCCGCCGCGCAAGGCCAGGCCGCTGTCGCGCCAAGTTTCCTTGCTGAGCGGCGGCCCCACCAAAGTGGTCATGTTGAACCGGATTGTACACGGCGTGGTCACCACACCGTCTGATCGGCGGGAAGTTAGAAGGGGTGGGCAGTTTTCCAGAAGGCTCGGAAGTCCCCCGGCCTTTTGACAAATTCTGCAAGCGTTCCCCAGAGACACAAGAAACTTCTCAAGGCCGGAGGGCTTCTGACAAGTCCCGCCGCTTTCTGACAAAGGACCCCTCCTTCTCACTTTCCACACTCGCTCGCCGCCGACCTGAGGGCCCTGCGGCCCAACCCTCGCCGCCACAGCGCGGCGGGGGCAGGGGCCCTGGCGCGCACCGGGGGGGCCCGCGTTCCCCAGCGCGCGGGTTCCGCGGCTGTCTCTGCGCGGCGCGGCGGGGGGGGTGCAGGGCTCGGAGGCGCCCCGGGGAGGCCCATGATCTGCGGCAACTCCCTGGGGCCTCCCAGATAGGGTTCAGGTAGACCCATCGTGCTACCACGTGGACTGCCCGATACGGAACGAATGTACTTTTCAGGCCACGGCGAGCCTCGGCCACGGATGGGCCCCAAAACCCAAATCTGGGGGACGGCCACACAATCAGGGCCCCCTCTTGAGCCCAAAGTGGGATATGTTTCAGCGTGCTTGCGCCGTGGACGGGTTCGGAAGCGCACCACTGAGACCCACGTTTCCTGGCAACTCAAGAGAGCCTCCCTTGTCATTTTGCGGGCTCCTGCGAATCGACGATGACCGACGCCCATCGACTCTGATCGACGCTAGCAGACGTGAGATCGGCGCTCATCGGCGCTCAGTCGGCGCTGTCCCGTCGATTGCGAGACGCTCGCCCACGCTAGTGCACTCTGAAGACGGAGTTGCGAGGACATACGAGGCTCCCAGTGTTTAGCTACCGAACCCATGGCAGAAAGGGCTCCGCGCAAAATCGGGTCAGGCGAAAAGGGGCGCTGGCAAAAAGGTGTGTTACGGTGGCGGAAATTCCGTTGACCGGCACAAACATAAAGGAACAATCATTCGCAAGCATACAATTATCAGCGGCAACGCCGCGCCTGGGCCGCACGCCGCGCCATGGCGTCTCGCCCGCGCCGCTCGGCCTCCGCCCTATCGGCGAAGCCAGCCGCCGCTACCACGGCGGCACCGCGGGGCAGCCCAGCGCCGAAGGCCACCTGCTCCGAGTCCGTCTCCGCTGCGGCGCCCGCAACCCCGACAGGCCTCATGCCCGCCGAAACAGGCTGCGGCACTGGCGGTTGTGGGGCCAGCAGCGGCCGCAGCCGCGCGCACAGGCGGCCCAGGAACACGATCCCAGCCAAGGCCCGCCTGCACGTTCCTCGGCGCAGTAGCCCAGCGTACCCTCGCTTCCTCGGGCGGCACAGCCAATGCACCGACAGGTACCTTCGCGTAGCCCTTGTTCGACACGATGGCGACATTAGACAAGGAACCATTGGATAAGGAATCCAAGGTCTGAAAAAACTGGTGGAACACCAACCAGAGGGTTGGCCCTGGATATCACCGCCGCCCTCATCAGACAAGGAGTTCTCCAGGGTCTGAAGCCTCCTGGGCACGTTCCTTAACGCGAGCCCCGCCAACCCGCTGGTTTTCACCCCTGGCGCCCCCCAGCGCAGGGGGCACCGACGCATCGAGGAAACGAACCGCCGGCGGGGCCGAGACCAGCTGCGCGCAGCACGTCTTTGTACCCCACCCCCCTTTTCCCGACCCCCCTCCTTTCGCCCGACGGGGAGTATCGGGCCAGATGCGACGCCTCTCCCGGGAACCCCGCGGCTCCACAAAATTCCCCCCCCAAAAAAAACGTCGACGGGAGCCCTTTCCATTGCATCCCTTCCCCGCGGGAACTCCCGGGGAAGTCCCAGGGAAGTCCCGCGTCAGATGCGACGCCTCTCCCGGGAATCGGGCGGCTGCACAGAACTCCAGAAAAGACGTCGATGGGATCTCCCCCCCTTTCCCCCCCTCCCGGGGGCCGCATTTTTTGGGCGGGGGTGCGAGCTTAAAACGCCACTCTGGGGCACCCGAAGCCTCCAAATCTACGCTCCGCGGCCTCCCAAATGCCCAAGGTGCCGAACCTAGCTTCAAAACAGCGAGCGAAGCCTGGAAGACGCCTCAGGAGGGCTCCAAGACGACCCCGAATTGTCCTGATAGGCAACCAGCGTCGTCGTTAGCATCGTCAACATCCTCGCCATTGTTGTCCTCCTCCTCCTCCTCGTGATCGCCGCGCTCTACTCGCCCCTGCCCTTCCTTCGTGTCACCCACCCACCCATCCACCTGTGCGTGCGAACCTGCTCGCCTCGCCTTCCCCCTATTCATTCCCCCCCCTGTGTTCCTACTCCTCCGCGTCCTCCTCTTCCTCCTGCCCCCCCCCCCTCATCATCCCCCCCGTGCCCCGCGCCCCCCCCGACCTCAGGGTCGGTGGCGCCGGCCGCAAGGCCTTCGCAATGCGCGAGCTGCGGGGCGCCGGGTGCCTCGCGCGGGGAGGTCGCCTGCCTCGTCGAACTCGTCCGCAAGGTAATAGCTGAGGCGCGTCGGATGGTGGCCGGACCCGTCCAGACACCAGTTGCAGATCTGAGTCGGTTCGGTCTCGTCTTCCCGGTACTGGATCGGATGACAACATCGGGTCACGCCGTCGTCTAGGACGTCGCCGCTCCAGACCTCGCATCCGAGACTGGGGCGAGCAGTCCACGGACACTTCTTGGATGCCATCGGCACCGGGGAGGCAGGAAAACGCCCCCCCATCTAGGATACGTCTCTCGGCCGCGGCCAGGATGAAACCGCCTTGGAATTTGCCAGCTCGTCGCGCTGCCCAAGCGCCGCCGCGAAAAGTCACGAACACCTGATCACGCAAAGGTCGGCAGGCGATCCGGATCTCTGCCAGCCCGCCGGCGGTTCGGACTATCTTGCCGATTTTATGCAACGTGGCGCAGTTCGCCTCGTTCAAATAGGTTGCTGCAACGCTTGCGTCGGCTGCAATGGGGCCCGCCCGTTGGCTGGTTAGGTATTGTAGGCCGACAGTCGCTGCTCGACAGGCGGTCATGCCCGCGGGCGGCAGTTCGCCCGCCAGCTTCCCTACGAGCGGCTTCTGCCAGCCCTCGATCATGGTGACCTTCCTGGCGGCTGTCTGGAAAGACTGCTGGATTGCGCCATCGGCGAGCCGGTTGATCTCGACCCTCGTCTGCATGAACTTCTCGGCCCCCCATGAGTCCCAGCCCCAATGGCCCCTGAACTCCGCGAGCCCCCGGGAGGCGAGGGCGCTGCTCGAGTCGGCGCCAGTGCTCGCGTCGTCGACATGGGCAAGGGCAATGCCCGCAATCCCCTGGCTGCCGCACAGGATCCACAGGCGCGGCCCCAGCCCCATGGCCGCCCAGCCTGCGGCCGACGCGTTGGGCGAGATCTCGTCGAACCACTCCTTCGGGACATCGCGCTGACCGTAGGCCTTCTGGAGCAGGATCATCACCTCGCCCTCCTTCAGGCCCATGGCCTCCCCGAGCTCCATGGCGGGCCCCGCGAGTGCACCTGCCCTTCAAGAGCCCGAACTCGAGATTGGCGCGCACCTGCACAGCCAAGTTTCGCCCGCGGACGGAGATCGCAAGACTCGCCGTCGCCGCGGCCCCCAGACGATGGCCCTAGCAACCCAAGAGCACGAACCTGGCCATGGCGGCGCCATCGCTCTTGACGGGCAGGCACCAGCGCATCTTCATAGGCGTCTTGCCTGTCTCGCGTAGGGTTCGTTCGGTGACCTCGCCGGCCGGCCAGATCGAAGTCCGCTGTCCCTTCGCCTCACGGAAGCGCCAGCGCAGCCCCGAGCCCGCGTTGCGCAGCTGCACATCGGGGCCCTCGCGCAAGGCGGCCGCGGCCCACGCGGCAGGACCCCTCAATGAATGCCTGCTACTCCTCGTCTGCATTTCCACGGGGAGGTCGAGGGACACCGCGTAAACGCACTCGTCGTCAGTCACGCTGGCGAGCGCACTGCCCGGGCTGTCTGCCCCTTCCCCCGCTGAAAAAAAAAGACTCGCGCCTAGTCCGATTGCCCTTTGGCAACTCGAGCCCGGTGTCATCGTTGGCCCGCTTGACCCCCTTCAAGCTCTGACGGACGCACATGGGAACTTCGTCCAAGCGGACGCATCGGCCCCCGACTGACTTCGGAGCGGGCGATGGCGGGGTCGAAGCGGGTCTCTGAGAAGGCCGCCCCTGCTGTGCTGCAGTCTCCTGTGAGAGAGCCGTGGCGTCCCTGGAGGGCCCTCAGGCTCCGTCTCATCCAACAGGCTCTTGACTTGGGGTGCCGGTTGGGCACGTAGGTAGGTCGGAGGGAGCTGACGCAGCGTCTGCAGGAGACTCGGGTGGGGGGCCGATAGAGGATCGCGGTCCTCGACTCCACGTTGGGGCCCACCTCAGTCGGGGCCCTGACCCACCGGGGTCACGTTGCGTAGCTTGTCGATCACTGCCGCGGTCCTGCTCGACAGAAGACGCGCGGTGTAGGCGTCTATCTCGTGGAAGGTGGCCTAGGCCTCGGAGGCCGCCCTCAGCTGCTGCGGATTGGCCTCCGCAGGATGTGACCACGGTGGGCCAGCAGCACCACGTTGCAATGCCGTCTATCTTTAGGGTCTCGCAGGTGAGAGAGAACCACCGCGGGCCCGATGCACCCGTCCTCGGAGCTCCTGACGGTCTGAGCTCGGCCCTTCGCCCCAGGCCCCATCCGCACGAAGACCAGCTCGCCGCGCTCGAAGATCTGGCGAGCGCGGCTCCGAGCCAGCCTGGCCAGTCGAGCCTTCTTGTCGGCCCGAGCTGCTGCGTAGGACTGCCGAGCCTGCATGCGCCGACGCACGCGCGCCTCCGCGGGCGATCCGCTGCGCGTCTCGGCCACCAGCTGGTGGGCTGCGCCGTGCAGCTCGCTGTCGAAAGGGCGAATCGACCGTCCCAGGACGATCGTCGAGAAGTGCTTGGCGCTTCTGCGCTGCCACACGCTTCGCCTCAATTGGGTCGTTCTGGTCCCAGCGCTCCCGTGCGATGGCCCGAGGTGCATCCTCGAACGCCGTGGCACGCTGGGCCTTCGGTGGCCGCTGTTCGCGGTCGTCCTGCGGGCAGCGAGCTGCGGTCTCGCGGCGGCGCTCGGCCTCGTCGATCTGGGCGGCGAACCGAGCGGGCGCCTTGATCATGTCGGAGCCTGAGCTGTTGGACTTCATGTCGTCGTCGACTGGTCCTTCTGGTGGTGCTGGCAGTGCAGCTGGTTGGTTCAGCTGGTGGTGCATCTGGTGGTTCAGCTGGTGCAACTGGTGGTTCAGCTGGTGGTGCAGCTGGTGGTTCAGCTAATGGTGGTGCAGCTGGTTCGGCAGCAGCAGGTAGTGACGCGCCGGCGGCGCCGGGCTCGGCGGCGGCACCTGGGCCAAATCCAAAAGTTTGCCTGGCGGCGAGGGTTGGACCGATATAAATTGATGGGATCCTCCCAAAAATGGCGGCGCCGAGCCGCTGGCCCCTCCGCTGCCGCCGGCCCCTCCACTCGCGGTGAACTCGTCGCCCTGCTTCTTCGCAAGCCATGCGTGGTAGGCGCGCGCCTTCTTGTTGGCGGCGCTCGGCTCGATGTTGCCGAAGTTGCGCAGGTAGAACACAGGCGGACCCGTCGGGTCCGGCATATCTGTTATCGCCCTCGGCTGCGGCGGCAAACTCGTTCGCGGGCGTTTTGTCGGAACTAAGGAACCGGACAGATCCATGAGACTGTCTGTCACGCCGTCGTCGGGGGGTCGCGGTGGACCAGGACCTCCTCCTCCGCCTCCTCCTTCACCTGGAGGTGGCGGCGCGGGCGGCCGCGCGTCGTCGGGCGGCTCGCCCGGCGGCGGGGGCGGCGGCGCGCCGCCCTGCGGAGCCAGGCCAGACAAGACGTGGTTCCAGGGGATGACCTCCGTGGCCGTCGCGCGCCGCAAGCGCCCGCGATTGACCTTGACCGTCGCGGAGCGGTGGCTGAGCCAAGCGTTGGCCGAGCCATCGGACCCAGCGATGACGGCAGGTCCGTGCCACTTGAGAGCCCATTCGTTTTTCGGCTCGCCATGGCCCCTCCAGTGGCGCACCAGGTCGCCGACCTGGCAGACGTGCGAAGCGCGCCGCGCCCCGTCGGCGCGCGACCGAGAGAGCAGAGCTCTGGAGATGGACTGGTTGCTGAGGTGCTGGATGGAGTTCTGGGCGGCCTTCATGATGGCGACCCTCTCAGAAAATGCCTTGTCCGAAACTGCACGCTCGTGTAGCGAAAGGCGCCCTGCGTTGTCGATTCATACGCGCGGCAGCCGTGGGCCTCGTCCTAGAACCCACTGCGACGGCGAGTATCCCGACTGATTCACTGCGCCATCTATGGCCCAGGACATAGACGCGAACAGCCACTGGACCTTGAGGGCCTGCTCGGGCTTGTCGAACCCGATGCTGAACTGGTCGATCAGCTGATGACCCGCGTGGGTGCTCCGAAGGGCGTGATCCACACCCGCAGAAGCCGGGCGAAAACGACTGTCGGGTGCCTTGTGGTGACGGTGCCGACCATGCTAAAACCAGAGGCCAAGTCGACAATCTTGCGGGATCTTAGCTGGTTCCCGGCGTAGTCG